GCTCCAAACATACACCTTTAACAACCTTTTTCGAATTTCTAAATTAACCGTTCGCGAGCATAGAAGTGACTTCTTTTTATTAAAGGCGACACGACCCTGCGCTATCCTCTGCTTTATATCCCTACTACTCCTTCCATCCTCACTTACCTGACTTCCTAGGTATCTAAAATAAGTGAGCATGGAAGGAGTAGTAGGTATATAAAGCAGAGGATAGCGCAGGGTCGTTTAATAAAAAGTTTTTGAATTTTCGTATGACATCAGATGCAATTGTTTTGAAACTCGCAGTTATACAGTGCCAATCTACATGATCCGATAGTTCATTAGAAACAATTAACATTCTGTCAACAGGACTGTTTCCATTCAGCGTTTGGTAGAAATAATACTGATTTGTTTCTGCTCTCAGAATGCGTCCTGGATCACGTATGGATAATTTACCCAGTAGAAAAGGAGAGTCTACAAGTCCAGGCAGGACATTATAACAGTAAACCTCATTGTGGTAGTTTCGGAGTGATGGAAGATTCAACCTGTCAGCCATCTCCGAGTAATCATTATTGAACGTAGATATTGGAGAACTACACTTATAGCACATGTACCTGAGAAGTCTGTGTTGAATGGTTTCAATTTTTTTTTGTGTATTTGTTTCGAGGGAGAGCATACATCAATTTATATTGAACAAATTATTGATATAATAATACTAAACCTTGAATTTTGTGCATCTCCTTAGTACCCAATAAAGCATTTTCCCCGATTCGGAGACCGCCTTCTCAATATGTACTTGTTAAACAACGGCATTTTGCTATTTATTGAGGGGTTGGTAATAAATCGTGTCGGAGTGACGTTGAGTGTCGATATTGTTACCTTCCAAGGAGACCCAAAAACTGCCGCCAAAAAGGCAAACATCTATTAGCAGTTTTAAGACCGAACGAGAGTGGCAAGTTGAGAAAAATAAGTTTTAGAACAGTTCCTGTTGAGAGCTCAAAGCAATCACGTAGAATAAAAATAGCCGTTAGTTTTATATTTAACAGAGTTGTGAAATTAGTAATCTTTAGTTTGTTAAAAGTGTAAACAGTAAATTAATGCAAAAGCAGTTCACAGTTTTAGTTATTTATTTTCAAGATACATTTCAATCAAGCACACGAGAAAAAGTTAGCAATGCTTAAGTTAAAAGCATCAAAACATCTAAGCCAAAACGCCTGGCGCAGTATGTCGAGGCAAACCGAACAAGACACCTTTCTGTTCCGTATTATTTCTAACTGCCCATGACACCCTGCTTTATAAAGGCTTTACGATGTTCTCTAGGAACTATCGCTGCGAACCGTCACAATCTTCCGGCCCTCAGCCGCTTTAGTATGGCAAATGCTTCACATTTGGCCACAACACTTCTTCCTGTCACCAGCAACCGCTCTGTTACCGCTACGGTTTAATGCACGATCCTTCCACGTGTATGTCCTCTCCTTCCTGCACCAACTGTAAAGGCAAACACCTAGCCTTTGACAGCAAATGTCCTAAACGACTTGATCCCAAAACCCTCACTCCTTCAAAGACTGCACTGGTAGAGTGCGTCGATCCTCCTGCCGAAGTACGGAAACGCGCTAACCTAATTTCGTTAATAAACGGGCGTATTAAAACTTGTAACACAGGATTCTTGCAATCGAACGACGCATTTTACGCAAAGTCGCAAGATTAGACCAACACTTTCCGTCCAACACACTTTACAACAGCATCCCAATTACCCCAATCCCTACACAAATCAATACAAAACGAAGAAGATCTATGTGGCCCTAGAACGGCCTGAGGTAGAGGGGCTTTAGTTGGTAGATCCGAGGACTTCTTCCTCGGGAATCCTCAGTAGTACGGACGATTGGGTGTCCTTTGAAGATTTCCCCACGAAAACATAAAAAAAATCATTCATTCAACAGTCCACTCTATAGGTCAAACCTATGTTAGTTTATTCGTTTTCCATCATTGCGTATAATAGTTATAATATCAAGTGTAATAAAGGTTCCTGAAAACCGAACCAAATAAATTTGTTAAAACAGTGTTTTTAAAATTCTATTCAGACAACATACGCTTTAACTGGCGCTGCGAACAGGATAGTGGGTGGAAATCTACGAATTTCATCCCATACACCTCAGAATTTCAACTTCTGCGACGTCTCTATCTACTCAGGAACTAATACCTTGGAAAAACTTCCGACCCCTGGGACACCAATTTGCTCACCTGATGAGTCCTTCACCTTCGATTGGACAATTCCTGAAGAAATGTTTCACTAAGGGATTAGGAGCAGTGGGAGGATTTTAAAACGTGAGTACAATTATTACATTAACACTTACACCAAAATTATTCATCTTCTCGAGGAATGAATAATAACAAAAAGCGGAAAACTAAAATAGAAACTGTGATCATTATAACAAAAGTAATCGATATTTCAGAACATTGAAAACCGTAATAAAATAGAAATATATTTAAGTATTAAAAAAAAACGAGATGGCGCCGGGAGACAGGGAACTGTGGCGATACACACAGAACCGGAAGTATTGTTATGGTTACGCGATACACAACTGTCATACTGATTCCTTTACTTGTGTTATCTCGTCGGAATAAAATTGTTATCCATTAACATCGCGCTTTATTTTGAACTCGCTTTGTCAAAATCCATAAATTTGGTGACTCCGACGTGATCGCGGAACGGAACCGCGGGATATTTTTTTTCCACTAAACTCAGTTTTCGGTGTTTTACAGATTTCGAAAAAAAACGGACCTGCACGCCACGAACGACTACGCTGACTTCGCTTTTAACGACAACTTCTTCAGCATGCCAGACGACGAAAAGTCCAACACCTCCAACGAACAGCAAGCCAACGACAACCACGTGGCCGCGATGAACGTCGTCAAACTTCCACAACAGCTGTGGTGGCAAAACCCAGCCAGGTAATTCAGCGTCGTAGAGAACACATTCCTACTCAAGATAACCTCGGATACGACGAAGTACAGGCACGTGATCAACACCTTGGAGCCGGACCTCATCGACCTCGTGGGCGACATCATGTTTGATCAACATACTTGCAGACTCCGCGGAAACAAGGATGAAGAAATTTCTCCGGGGCCAACCGATGGGAGACACGAAACCAAGCGTGTACATCCAGAAAATGCGAAACATGGTTGGCGGAAGATGTGACGACGCCATCCTGAGACCACTCTTCTTGGAGCAACTCCCTGAGCAAGTACAATACATCATGGCTGTGAGCAAGAACACCAACCTGACCGACGTGGCTAAGATAGCGAACCGTATCATGGACACGATTAGTCCATCATTAGCGGCAATTCACGTGGCGCATCGCTCGATGTCCGTCTCTCCAGATCTACCAAGGACCACTTTACCGGAGTCCTACGACCTCGGACAGATCATGCTGGCAATCAACCAGCTACGCAGCGACTTTGAGGTTTCGAAAAAGGGCGATTCTCGAGGACGCAGCGTCAGCAAACCAAGGCATGGAGCAAATTCTGAAACAGACGAACCAGAGACGTTTGGTAAAGAGGCGTACCATTGCAGGACACCCTGCGCTTGGAAGCCGCAGGGAACTAACGAATTCGGCGTGCATCGAAGCAGCCGCTGGAGACGTCCCCAAACCAAAACGCCTCGTGACCGACCGCAAGACGAACACCAGTTTCCTGATCGACACGGGCGCTGACGTATCCACGCTACCAAAGCAATACGCCGGCCTAAATAAGAGCACCAGCAGGGTACTCTACGCCGCTAACAAGACCCACATCTCGACGTTCGGAGAACAAAGGCTCACGGTCGATTTCAGTCTACGTCGACCACTCGAGTGGACTTTCGTAGTGGCAGACGTATCCCAGTCGATCATCGGAAACGACTTTCTCTACGAATATGGTCTCCTAGTGGACATCCGGAACAAATGCCTCACGGACAGCGTGACCCACTTGGCGACGACTGGAAAGGTAACCGTCACGGATACCCCGACGCTCAGTACCATCGACATCTCCGCAGAATACCACGACATCCTCCGCAAGCACGTTGAGGTCACACGACCTGTGAGGTTCAGGGAGCCCAAGCACCACGTTCGACACTACATCGCCACCCGCGAGATACAAAGCCGCCGAAGAGATCATCCGAGTCTGGATAGCCGAAGGGGTCCTAAATCCCTCCGGTAGCCCATACGCCAGCGCAATCCTCCTACGAAAAAAGAAGGGCGGCAGCTGGAGACTATGCGATGATTATCGATCACTCAATGCGATAACCGTTCCAAACATTCAGGACTTCGCCAGCAAGCTCCACGGATGCACCGTCTTCTCGACACTGGAGCTGAAACGAGCATATTTTAACATCCCAATGAGCAATGAGGACCGAGAGAAAACTGCCATAATTACACCTTTCGGCTTGTACGAATTCAACGTGATGCCTTTTGGTCTTCAAAATGCCGGACAGTCATTTTAATGGTTCATGGATACCGCTCTTAGGGGTTGATTTCGTTTTCTGCTACATCGACGACATAATCGTGGCATCCTAGGACGAAGCAGAACATCGCAAATACCTGGACATCCTGCGGGAACGCGTTAAACTCTACGGTCTCACCCTGAAAACAATCAAATGCACACGGGGTAAACCAATAGTAAAGTATCTAGGGCACCAAGTAGACGCTCACGGCATCAAACCATTGCCACAACATGTAACTGCCATCCAAGAGTTTCCGAAGCAGGGCAACATCGCGGAGCTCCGGAGATTCTTGGGAATGTTGAATTTTTACAGAAGATTCACCCCCCACGCAGCCGAGCCGCAGGCGTGCCTGCACAGGATCACCGCTGGCGCGAAGAAGAAGGACAAACGGCTTATCTAATGAACCCCAGCGACCGATGCGGCATTCGCCGAATGCAAAAATCAACTAGCCGAAGCCACGCTCCTCGCACACCCCGCTGAACACGCCAAGCTGGTACTCGTCATCGACGCATTCAACACGGCTGTGGGCGCCGTTCTTGAACAGGTGATAAATGGTCAACGACAACCACTCGGTTTCTTTTCCAGGAAGTTCTTGCCAACGCAGACCCGCTACAGCACCTACGACAGGGAACTCCGTTTACACTTACCATTTATACCGCCATCAAATTCTTCGAGCACATAATTGTAGGTACGGAAACGGTAGTCTACACGGACCACAAGCCGATTACCTACGCCTTCGACCAGAAGCCCGAAAAAGCATCGCCCAGACAGCAGCGCCACTTGGATTATATCGGACAACACACCACAAATATCGAGAACGACGTAGCCGACGCTCTATCCAGAGTCAACGCCGTCTAGATGCCAACCATCATCACGACTGAAGAGATCTGTCGCGAGCAGTGCCAGGACCAGGAACTCCAGGAGCTAATCCGAGAACCTAGGTCCCTGGTACTCAAACAACTGAGAGTCGACAGCACGGATACCACCTTCTACTGCGACGTGTCCGCTGAAACCATCCGGCCTTACATTCCGCAACCGTTGAGGAAAGGAATCTTCGACGTGGTGCACAACACCTGGCACAGCAACGGCCGCGCCACTCGCAAGGTCATCGCAGGCAAATTCGTCTGGCCCGGCATGAACAAACAGATCGCGCACTGGGCCCACACCTGCCTGCCATGACAACGATCAAAAATCGGCAGACACGTCCACCGAACACCAGTCCACATCGCCGTTCCAGACGAACGCTTCCAACACGTGAACATGGACATCATAGGGCCAATGCCACCCTCACGAGGATACAGGTACTGCCTAACGATGATCGATCGTTTCACACGATGGCCAGAGGCAACGCCGATCAAGGACATAACAGCGGACACCGTCGTCGACGCGTTCTTTCAGACCTGGGTTGCTCGATACGGCGCACCTGGAAAAATAACACACGACATAGGAACGCAGTTCGACTCCCAACTGTTCGACGCAATGACGACGATGATTGGTTGCAAAACAGTCAGAACAACCAGCTACCACCCAGTGGGAAACGGATTGGTCGAGAGATGGCACAGGACTCTCAAAGCAGCAATAAAAGCACACGAAACATCCAACTGGGTGAATGTGTTGCCAGTTGTTTTGCTTGGCTTACGCACCAGCTACAAAGACGACATCAAAGCCTCAGCTGCGGAGATGACCTACGGCACAACTCTTCGACTCCCAGGCGAATACTTTATGGAGGACGAACCGTTACCGGACCCAAATTTCTTCCTCGAACATCTCCGCCAATCCATGAGGAAGCTCAGACCAAAACCGACGGCGCACCACCATAAGCCGAAGATTTTCACTCACAAGGCTCTACACGATTGTACCCACGTTTTCGTACGAGTCGACCGTGTGAAAAAACCGCTAAAGCAGCCGTACGAAGGACCGTTCGAAGTAATCCGAAAAACAAATGAATTCTGTTTCAGGGTTAACGTCAACGGCACACCGACGGAAATCTTGATCGACAGGCTCAAACCCGCCTTCATCGAGAACGAAGCCGCGACAACACCAGAATCAGACGAACACTCCAGCGCAGGCTATAGGACGTACCCGGGCCCACGAACCAGACACGTTACTTTCGCTCCCCAACCTGGTCGCTCGAGGCGAAGCACTGTGGCGATACACAGAACCGAAAGTATTGTTATCGTTACGCGATACACAACTGTCATACTGATTTCTTTACTTGTGTTACCTCGTTGGAATAAAATTGATATCCATTAACATCGCGCTTTATTTTGAACTCACTTTGTCAAAATCCAAGGAATCTCCCGGCGTCAGTCCTGGTTTTTATTATAAATGTCACCCGAAAACAAAAGTTTCAACTGTGGTTTGCTTGATCTGTGAAAATGTTTATCATCGTAGTGATTTTGAAAATTTAAAAAATACAAAAAGAATCAGCAATGTTTTTGTAATCTGTCCAGAACATCAAAACTTTGACCTAACCTCTAAAAAAGGTGAGTTGGCACTAACACGACTGCTAAAACTATCATCGCTCAGATAAAACTAAAACAAGAGGAAAACATTAGAGAAGATTTTTTAAGTGACATAGTTAATAATACTAGAAGTGTGGATCGCAATTTAACTTGTGAAAATTAAAAAATTTCCAGTCCCAAAAACAGTAAAAGAACTCAAATCATTTTTAGGCTTAAGCGGCTACTACCGTAAATTTTTAAAAAATTATTCCAAAATTGTCATTCCCCTCCGTTTTGTTTAAAGAAAAATACATTGAATTAATGTGAAAGATCAACAAAATGAACGAATTTATGACAAACGCTCCAGTTTTAGCTTATCCGGATTTTAATAAACATTTTTCAATTACCACCGATGCTAGTGATAAAGCGATAGGTTCAGTTATTTCCTAAGAAGGATACCCAATCGCTTTTTACTCTCGTATTCTTAATACGGCTGAAAGAAATTACAGTACTACAGAAAAAGAATTATTAGCTGTAGTTATAAACATTTCAGGTCCTACATATGTTATATGCTCAAATTAAGGAAGTCTTTTTAAAAAGTTTATTGAGCAAAGCTACAATACACACACGGTGTAAGGTCTAGTCTACAGCTAAAGTAAAGCATCGTTATTGTAACAAGGTTTATATATGGCAAATTATTTTATGTTATTATGTTTTATCCCTATATTACGTATCTAACATCTCCCCCATTAAATTGAAAAATGAAAGTTTATTTCTAAAATTAATTTTCCAATAAGATTACAATTTAGAACAACTATTTTTGATGGTTGTTAGGAATTATAGGCGACTTGAATTTTCGGGTGGAGCTGGGTTTATGCTCGACTGTTGACATTTCCATCGATGATTGATTTGGATCATTGTCGACTTCCTTGTTTATAGATTGCAATGCGGATTTGGAAGTTTTCTGATTGCGAAGATAGTTGCTCGTTGATTTCCATTTCAGTATTCTTGACCAGCAACAACAGCGACATAAGAAGTATGTCAAAAGAAAAAAGAAAATTAGTGTTGTTGGTGTTGCATAGAACCAAGTTGAATATACAGATGTAAAGCTCCTAGTGAATTCTTCCAATATTTCTTTTTGTAAGTCGGCAAGCTTTGTTTTAAGAATCGGAATACTTTCTTCCTTTAGGTAGTTGAGGTCAATGGGTTGACTTCCGAATGTTTTTAGAATTTTGATGTCTTCATGACAGCAATTTCGGGGTATTTACGGGATGTATACTACAATGTCCTTTACTCTTACGTTTCGTCGGTCGTTGGTTGTAATACGAAGACCGTTGTTGAAATAGCAGATACATTCTTCGTAAATGGTGAAAAGCGATGGTTCGTTTATCGTGACTTTCTTAATTGCGTAACTCTTGCATTTATAGGTAATGTGTAGATGTTTGGTAGATGCGTGTAGCCAACTAGTGGAATTTGTTTGCTGAATGTTCTTTTCGATTGCTTGAATGCTACAAACGGCACATTCTTGAGGGAATGTTTTGTGCATCAATAATTTTGGTAGACAACGGTTGGTACTTTTGGTATCCTGGGGTTTTTCCGTGTGAATGGTGGGTGTTAATTCATTCATTTCAAGGTATCATTGGTGATCATCAGAAATTGCCACATAGGAAGTTTCGTGAATGATAGTATGATAAAGGTCGTTCTCAAATTTAACAGGATAAGGATATGCTTTATATAATCTCAATTCAATATTCATAACCAACGGTATTGTTAATTTAATTAGTATTCTTTTTTTATAAATGAATAATTTAGGACTCATAATTTGGTAATATTTATAAATGTTAAAATCGTCAAAAGGAAAAGGCAGTGTGTTTTCATTTTGAGCGACATGACTCAATTGTTCTTCTAACTGGACGTGATTCAAAACGCTAGGGTGCAGAACGTTGATTCTGGCAAAGGACAATGTTTCAACTATTTCATCGACCTGTTTATTCATTTCTATTGCTAGATCGTTTAATAACGTGAGTAAATCTAAATATTGTAAAAAAATGCGATTTTCATCTAATCTAATATTATTGTTAAAAATCTGTTTCTTTATAACCGATATATTTTCCAGGAGGGTCTCTTTGTTACTATTTATTTTTGCTAGTGAATTATTAAAATCTGATAGTATCATTTCTGTCAAGTGCGCTTGCTCACCCTGGATTTTCAAAATCTTTTTATTGGAACTTTGTAGTTCATTTATTAATTTGTCATACTTTACTGCATCGTCTGAGTCAAGGGTTCCGAAAAGGGTTTTCAATCCTGTTCCAAAAATATTGAACCAACCTCTACGGGTTCTTTTTGAGTTCGGTAGCAAAAACTTAATTTCCTTTAATTTCGTCTCTAATTTATTTATACTTATTTTCAATAATGTTGAGTGCATTGTGTTGAAATTGCTTCTATTAATATTATCGCCTATCTCGTTTATTTCTTTTTGATATATACCAAGAACAATGAAATTTTGGAATAGGGGGGTCAAATCTTTACAAATCAGAATTTCGTATTCGGAATCAGAGGGGTGAAGGAGTCCTTTTCCTTCGAGATGGATTCCATTATCAGGTAACTTTTCTACAAGGAGTTGCTCGTGGGACCATCTAAATATGATATAATCCTATAAGGTTTTATTTGCTCAGTGCTTACTATAGTAAAGTCTTTATTATTGTTTTTTTTGTCTAATTTAACCGTATTATGGGAAATAATTTCAACTATAGTATATGGTCCAAGCCATTTACATTGATCTTGTTTATTTATTAACTGGTTTTTTAGGAACACTTTGTCATTTATGGAATATTGAAGTATAGGGGTCTTAATTTTGCTATCATACTTTTCTTTTACCTTTATTTTAGTACCAATTTGGTTTGAACGGGCGACTTCTCTTAAATTTTGTTGTTTTGTTTTTTATTCCATTAAATAATTAGAAACTGGGACTTCGTTTAATACATCTTCTTCCGGATTTAAGAAATTCCGGTGCTTGAAACCGTAGAAAATTTCGATTGTCAATTTGGTAGAATAATGTGTAGAAGTATTGTAAGCGAACGTGGGAGAATTTAAAAGTACCTTGGGCCCTAATTTATTTTTTTCTTTCGTGGAATATACCGCAATTGTATCCTTAAGTGAACTAATTACCCTTCCTACCATACCATTTGTCTTCGGGTGGTAACCTATTGAATTGGTATGCTGAAGATTTAGTTCTAAAGTGAGTTTCTGTAGTATTTTATTCACAAATTCTCCACCTTGATCAGTGTGGATGCGTTTAGGAACACCGAACGTGGCGATAAAATTTAGAAATTTGGTTTTAATTGTTTCAGCTTCCTTATTCTTTAACATGTAGGTTTTCAGATATTTTGTTAATTGGTCTTGTATGACAAGAATATGTTTTTTATTTTTAATAGAGAAATAGATTTCGGCTATGTTCATGTCTACGCGTTCGAAAGGATAGGTAGGAGTTTCAGTAATTGTTAATGGGGATTCGAAGTTTCGTCTAACCGTTTTGTTCTTTTGGCATTCTAAACAAGAATTTACGTAGTTTGTAACATCTTCTTTAATTTTTGACCATGTGAAATATTGTTGAATTTAATTTATAGTTTCATTGATTTTGTGACCGTACGCAGGTGGGTCATGATGCATTTTAATTATTTCGTGTTTTTTACTAGGGTCGTCTGAATATTTGTATTATATGTGTTAAAACAGTGTTTTTAGAAACTCTATTCAGACATCGTACGCTTTAACTCAAAAGATTGTGTAATTTAGAATGACTAGCCACCAATTTAATTATAGTTAATTACTAATTTATTAGTATAATAATAATCTTTACCTACCTTACTAGATAATTGGGGAACATAAAAATGGCAGGGAATTATCACATGGTGAGTGAAGAGTGAAGTACTCCTTTATGATAAACCGTCTTACCACCTTGCATCTTCGTGATCTTGAATTTGACTCGCCACTCTCGACTTCTTGACTTGATTCGACTTTCACATTATCGTTACTGATTTCGCTATTTAAACGGTTGCTAATTGCCATACTAACACAGTAGATATGTAGGTGTTAGCTTGCACTTTTGGATAAATAATTTAGATGTATCAACTTTGTACTAGTGAGCTAAATAAGAATTTATGGATATTATGTAACAATAGTTTTTCGTAGCCAAAAACAGACTCAGCATCCATCCATTGTGGCTACCTATGACAAAATATGAAACCCGCAAATGCACCATCAAAACATAAACCAATTGATGCAAGAGAATTTGTATAGTCATAGGAATTTATATATTCGTAACTACTCAGTAGGCTGAATGAACATATTTCTTCTTAATAACATTTATTAACATATACATACTATATACTATATACTACCATGTTACACAAAGCACAACACAAGGTCTTGTAATTCTTCACAGTTAATTAAAATAAGGGTCTAATTACTTTCATTGCCTTCATATTGAACTACATAGCCAACTCAGATGTCTTTTCTAATTTGCTTGGATCAACACTTGAATGACACATTGGACATAGTTTTTCTTCTTCGGTATTTAATATTCTAGAAAATAAAACATAAGAGTAAAGCGTTGTTTAAAAACATTAATGAAACATACTCTAAAAATTCCGATCGTATAGCTGGAAAAGAACACTCTGGACAAACTGTAATATCGTCTTTTACAATATGACGACCCTGAAATTATAACTGTTAGTCGTCTTAATAAGGTTAGGTTATTGGACAATACAATTACTAAAAATGCTAGATAAGACGGTGCTTAGAATGTTTTAAGAATATCTAGACACGCGGCAGCGTGTTTAGTCAAGTTCAAAGAAAAAGGAAACTGACGACACAGTAGCCGTGTGTAATTTACACGAACCATTTCGAGATACATTGACCCGCTTCACAATTCGAAATCTATTTGATCTACATACATAAAATTTCTCACATTTATTAAAGCCCCATTTACCTCTTCATTATTCAAGTTATTAAAAACTGTTTCATCACCATTGAAAGTTTGTAAATGCTTGGTTGTTAAATATATTAATAATTTTTAATAATAATCTAACAGTGTGGTCAACAGATACATATTGGCCATGTGCACGAAGGCAGAATTTATCACGTGAATGCTACCAGGTGCGAATCCAAATACATCAAGAAAGAAATTAATATTGGGTTAATTTAGCTTTAGGTACTCCTTGATGATTCGCCTTAACGATAAATAAAATAATACTATTCTTTTTTACATATACAGGGTGTCTCACGGTGACCACCCTTTAGAATATTTCGGAAACTACTTCTATTTAAATTTCGAAAATTTGTAATACGAGGGTGGATTGATAAGTTTCCGGCCTAACCAAGAGATGACGCCACTAGGCCTACCTTGAGGTGACATTCTATAGTACCATCCTTGGATAGCTTGTAGCTATAGTTTCAGCCCGATCTCCTTGCTAGTGTAGGTTTGACAGCACGCTGAACAAGACGCCTCTGTGGTTTTCGTAAAAATGGAAAAGCAGGAAAATCGTGCTGTCATCAAATACTTTTATTTGAAGGGGTTAACGCCGAAGGAAATTAAAAAAGAGATGGACTCAACACTGGGGACATCCTCCCCGTCATATTCAACCGTTAAGCAGTGGGTTTCCGAGTTTAAAAAGGGTCGTGTGAGCACCTCTGATGGGCCTCGCTCAGGACGCCCCGTTGAGGTCACAACTCCAGATATGATCGAAAAAATTCATCAAATGGTGAGCCTGATATTATAACTCGTTTCATTTAAAAGTTTTAATAATAAATAAAGTCTTTATTCTGTTGCTTTAGCTAAACAAAACCATATACATTCGTGTTATCCTTTACTATACCTCATATTTACTAACTATATGAGTTCTAGGCATTTCTTTGAATTTATGCATATTATTTGAGCATTTTATTTCGTTTGGTAAATTATTAAATTCTACTAATCCTTTATAAGAAATATTATTCTGTATAAAAGAGATGATTCATTTGGTATATAGAAAGCATTTCTAGTCCTGGTATTGTAGGTATGTATATCCTGTATAGAACGTCTTTCCTCCACAGTCTGATCGGAGTACTACCCATTTTTTATTTACGTATACAAGGTCATCATCATCATCATAAGGTCGTCAGTCCTAAGACTGGTTGGACACGTACCTCCACTCTTTCCTATTCTGAGCTAATTTTCGCATTTCCCTAAAACTAGTACAACTCACATCCTTAACTATTTGCGAACAGTAACCTTACCTAGTTCTACCTCTACCTCTCCTAACTCGTGTTTCTGCCTCTAATATATCTTTGACTAGACCTTCATGTCTGAGAAGGTGTCCTACCAACCTATCTCGCCTATTTTTTATTGACTTCCATAAAGTCCTCTGTTCTCCTATTCTTTGCAATACCTCATCATTTCTAACCTTTTCTACCCATGTTATCCTCAGCATCCGCCTATAACACCACATTTCGAAGGTTTCCATGTTTCGCACCCGTACAATGCCGCGCTCCAAAAATACATTTTTAACAACCTTTTCCAAATTTCTAAATTAAACGTTCGCGAGCATAGAAATAACTTCTTTTTATTAAAGCCGACACGACTCTGCACTATTCTCTGCTTTATATCCCTACTACTCCTTCCATCCTGACTTATCTGACTTCCTAGATATCTAAAATCAGCCACTTCTTCTAATTTTTCGTCTCCTATCCTTATATTCGCTCTTTGCCTACTTTTTCTTCCCTTGCATACCTACTAGTATTTTAGTTTTACTTTTATTTATTTTCACACAGTACTGATCTGTAAGTAACGCTTCTATTTTATTTAAAGCTATCTAAACACCATACTTAACCGTAGACAACATTACGTTTAGTTGTCAGTTGCGTTTTGTTATTCCATGAAAGTTGCGTTTTGTTATACCATTTTTAACAAATGAACGGCTAGACTGATATTTTGATTGATAAATTTTTCATTTTGCTGTCAGATGCGTTTTGCCATTCCATGTCAGTTGCGTTTTCTTATACCACCTTGTTTTTCATGATAACGGTATAAAAATCCTATGTTCCTCCCCTGGTTCTAAGCTACCTTCCCACCAATTTTCAGCCAAATCGGTTCAACCGTTCTTGAGTTATAAATAGTGTAACTAAAACAGTGGTAGTACTGTCGAGACTTCGAGATATAATCTACGTTCACGTTGTCAACGCAGCACTACCACTGAAGATGTCAGCCGCAGTAGCTGACGAAACGTCTAGACGGAACAGTTCACTTAGACCACGGCCCTATAGCCCGAATCTTCATTCTACTATGGATTACGGCCGTGAAAGCCTTTGTTCTTATATTAAAACCTAACTAATAACACAGGTCTGCGAAAATTTTTTTTTGAAGTTTTTTTCTTAAATTGTTAATGTTTGTCGTAATTGTCTTAAAAGTAATAGAAAAAAATATTCATATGGTGTATACCACGTCACATTAACCCATAAATGCTCAGAGAACACATTTCCGTTTGAACCCTTCCCACGTGATGAGTACGAAGAAAAAATATTCGATAACCAGTGTTTCTATGTTTTTAACGATGCTCTTTTCGATGGTGTTACTTAAAGTTACCTCCGACAATATTAAAGCATGGAAAAATCGAAAATAAACAAAAAAAACGTGATTTTGGAATTGACTTTTTTCTTAAAAAGTAATTATTTGTGTCCTTACCATTTTTTTAAACGCCTAAAACCTATGTAGATCATGACCTCGATATCTAAACATGAAAATAATCACCGTTGATCAAGTCGAAATGCCTTTACAAACTGTTTGATCAAACCAAGTTTAAAATAAAGTGGTGGAATACTTTTTCGGGATCATTCAAACTCGTATTAATTGACATTTTTCACTCCGACTTCCAATTGCATTCTAATTTGGACATAGAAATACCGAATAACAATGATTTTGATCTACGATAAGTCCACTGTCTTAACACTTCAATACATAGCCGGCATATTTTATCGTAACCCAGTGTTTATCATTGTGACACAACTTCGTTTTGAAGTAAGCTTAATAAGCATTTTTTACACAGTTTGTTATATTCAATCTTTCCTTAACTATTGTATATTGCCTGCAAATGTAAAAAAATACATTTGAATTGTTTTAACAACTCCGAGAAGCCATAGTTAAAGATAAATCAAACACAATCTTTTATTACACGTTAATATTCGCTCTCAATAATGGCGCGCTATAAACTATTTTTTTTTCAGGCGGTGTAAACGATTAGAGTTACTTTCAGACTATCTAAAATAAAGTAAAAGACAATATAATGTTCAGTCAGAGAGTATTAAATAGAAATATAAACTATAAAATGAATTTTGTGAAAAAACAAATAAATTTGCCCACTCAAAGAGCTATATATATATATAAATATATTAATCTGCATACAAAAAAGAAATGTGTAGTGATACGTTAAAACAAAGTGTATATTTGAAAAATACATTTATATGCCTAAGATAAATTTATACAAAAAACTTTATTATCGCAGACCTGTGTAATTAATAAGAATAAACAGTCTGTGCCTGTGCGGTAGAAGAAATGAAAAAGTAGTACCTACAAAAGGCTCGACAATTATTGCAGATTGGGGTATCGAAATGTTTCTGCTAACCGCCGCTGCTGGCGGTACTTGTTTACTTACACATAGCGAATTCTGTTTTTTCTGAACATAAAAAATTCATTTTATTGTTTTCTGTAACACTTAAAATGTTTCGGATAATTATGCTTCATGCACTTTATCATTTTTTGCAATTTGGAGCATATAAACAGAGCTTTTTATGAAATACGCTACTCATCTCTGAAAATTAATTTAAAATTGCGACACCCACGTCATAGCTGTGTTGCACGCAGAAGAATTTATTTAATTATATTCATCATATAGATGAGTGCAACAAAAATAAAACAAGTTTACATGAAAATAATAAGGCATAAACGACTAAATTATCAAAATTTGAAACGTTCAAATATTTTTTGATAAATAAATTCATTAAATTAAACTTTTGGTAGTGGCCAGAGCTATTGCCGTTAAGAAAGGTATGTAAGAATATATCATACCGTGACTATGCATACAGGAACGTTCTTTTTACAGCCGCTACAAAAAGTTTCCATTTCTGGAAACAGTGTACCACAATAAGGACAAGAAGTAACTGATTCAACCAAGTCATCATTTAAATTCGCACTAGTAGAGTTTTTCGGTGCCTTTCTTATTATGCTTTCGATTTTGTTAAGATACTTGGAGTCTATTTGTTTTCTGTAGTTTTGGTTTTGTATTAAACTTGTAGCGTACTTATAAGCGCTATGTTTTAAATCTGCTCGATAACATTCGATTACGGTAGATGTTAATATCGGAACAATATCTGAAAAACAATGATTAAATTAGTAACTTAGGTTAAAAGCACAGAAAAGAATTCGAATGATATTTGCAGTTAACTTTAAAAGCTATCAGAGGTTTTCCTATAAAATCAACTCCAACTACCAATTTCTGCAGATTATTATGCCTTCAAAATGTGAAAAATAGTAGATTCGGCAAAATCTGCATCTTGGGGTCGCCTAGTTTTCTTTTCGCATCATATCCTATAATATAGGTTGAAAGGCTCAGTGGTTTACATAGTAAAATATCGAGAGACTCAATATTCCTTAAAATTTGACGAGAATAGCTTTCGGTGCTAGTCCCGCATACTTTTCTACGAAGGTCATTCAATAGTGAAAGACACAAATTGATCTAATAACATAATAGTAGGTAGGAGTTTGATATTATTTGGATTACAAGTTAATAACAGTAGAATAAGCTATGATTAACAAATTGGTAAAAATTATTTTGCTTATTACATCAAAAGGGTATAGCAGGGTAAATCTAAGCGAGATGCCTTTCGGAAAACTTATGTCGATATTTTTATCTTGACATCATATCAGTGAAACTATTCTCTAAGTTATCACACTTCTGCTGGCGTCAGTTTTCCAAATAAATTAATTAACCACATTTTGAAAATTTTTTTTCCTTTTATCATCATCATAAGGTCGTCAGTCCTAAGGCTGGTTGGACACGTACCCTCTTTAGTATTTAAGAAGAAACTGTCTTTTCTTTTTTAGAAAAAGTCTTTAGTATAAAAATTGAGCGAGTTGTGATGAAAATAAGGCCGATTTCTACTTTTTTCAGCGAAAACAACTCCCTAATTACCCCCCTAATTAAAATTAGTCATTACCATTTTTCAATTCTCTTTATTTGTGTATCATTAATTCATTTTAGAAGTTTGATAGTATAGAAAGCTTGATTTTGAAATAATTGGATATAAATAAAGGAGAAGGAAGAGTAATGATAGAAAGTTGGCTGAACAACAGAAAGCTGGAGGAGGAAAAACAAAGAAAACTGTACAGCCCAGAACAAGGACATAAGGTGTTAAGAAGTAGAAGAAATAAAGGAAGAGAATCAGGAAAAATGGAAAGAAAATTATGGAAAACGAAAAAAGGGAATTACAAGAAAGAAGAAGATGAAAAATTAAAACAAAAGCTACATAAAATGCAGGAAAAAGTAAAGGTAGATAAAAATAAAACAATTAGAGAACGAGACAATGTGAAAATTTCAGGAACTGGAAGAATGATTTTAACTAGGACAAAAAAATTAAAAGAAGATTGGAGGGAAATGGAACTAGAGGAGCTTGAGATAGACATGTGGTGAAACAGGTAGGGGAACAAAATAAAAGAACAAGGAGAATGGATATGGAATTGGAATAAAAAAGAACGGAAGAGAAGAAACTAAACCTGATAATTTTTGGAATAGAATTAGAGGAAAACAAAGCGAAGGGATAGTTGAAAAGAGTTATAAAAAGGTATATAAAGTAAAGAAAGTATGGAAAATTGAAAACAAACTTAAAAAGGAGTAGGGAGAAAAAATGCAGGTGATTAGAAACGACAGAAAACTAAGAGGGATGGAGGTTTAATAAGAGATAATATGATTGTGGAAGAGAGAAGAATACAAAAGATGCTAGAACTAATGGTAACAGAGAGGAAAAAGAATGTCTATAAGTTTTGTCCGAGAAAATAACAAAAGATGAGGTAGTATCGATAAGGGACGAGGAAAAAGAAGCAATAAAAAGAGAGAAGGTCACCGGATGTAACTAAATTTTAAATCGGTGTACCTACACTGAAGACTCCAAAAACAAATACAGGATCGTTAGTTAAATAAACATGTACAGTCTAGAACACTAATTATTATAGTTAAATATTTTTCACATTGTAAATAGTATAAATGCATATATAAATAATGTATCAGTAACCACAAATAAATAAATAAATGTACCAACACTTATACACATAAGCGAATATTTCATAAGTTTGAAATGTTATTATTTTCGGTGAAATAATGGGCACATTGATTTTTAAAACAGCTTTATTAGGTGATCACGATAAACTAAACAAAAAAGTTATTGGGTCGGAGGTAAATTCAGTTCTGCCCGTTTTAGTCGTATTTTTGTATATTAAAGTACACAATATATGGGTGTTTTTCTTTCCTTTTTATATATATATTCACACCAATCACAAACATCTTATTCAAGAAAATCATTAAAAAGGTCATTTTTGGCTGTTTTCGAATATTAAATATATGGTGTCTTTTTCTGTTTTGTATATGCTATTTATCAAAAACTAAAGCTGATAGACGATAATGGTTTTTATTTTCAGAGTCAGAATAATAAATGTCTACGTAAAAGCTACATAACCTTCCGGAAAAGAAATTGTAACTGTTATTGCCAAAAAAAGTTAAATCTCCTGATAGCGATTCAAATGGTTATTTTGTGAATTCCATGATTTTAAAATTAATACTTAACTACAACTAATAATAGGAAGTGACGATAAATCTACTGTTTTCCGATTATTTGATACAAATTCCATAGATATTTCCTCAAGAAATTCGATCATTTTAGTTACTTATAATAAAAAACGTAAATAACAAAACTAAAAGAGGTGAGTATAGGGAAGTGTAATAGGGACAGACAGACAGAGGGAAAACTTCTACATGTGAATCTGAAAAAATATACAGGGCATTCCATAAAAATAAATAAGTTTTGATGGTTCGAAGTGTTTCATCAACCTGTATAACACTAAACAACTTTTAACGTAATTACAATAAATTATGGGCATCATCCTACCTTCCTTTCAAATAGTAATACTTCAACTTGCATAATACAAAAAATATGCAAGCTTTATAAAAGTCCCCCTAAATTCCAAAATAACACGTAAATTCTGAAAATTTAAAAATACAGGGTGTTTCAATTGAAATAAGAAATGGATGGCAACTTCCGGTAAAACCGGAAGTGCTATAAGACTGGCACTTTTTATTGAAAGAGAGCACCCTCGAAAACCTTAGACCCCAAAACTCTAAAATTTAATTCAAAGTAGTTTCTGAAATATTCTAATGTACTATCACTGTAGGACACCCTGTATGTAGAGCAGGTTTCTATTGTTACTATTTATTCGTTGTACTCTATTCCTTCTTCCGAAAAGAAAGGAAGATCTTGGTATTCAAGAGTCATTTTGCTAATTTAGAATTACGATCCTTCATGTTCAACAATCAAGTGAATTTAATACCGAAAGGATACGGTCGGAAATGATTTATTGAGCACACAACCGAAAGAAGTTCCTTCTTCGTAGTTGAGTACCTACTTGTCGTGTAATTCAATGTCTATGAGGCAAACGATATCGAGCGTTCAACACCATCCAAGTCATCGAACTGCGACAAAACAGTGCTGATGGCAATGATCAAGGGTTCGATCGTTTATATATGTACATTCTTTTTCAAATTCCGAATAATAATAAGTAACTAAATGTCTGCATATGGAAAACATTGTTTGACTCCGTTAGTAATTTTGACAATTTAGCCAGTTCTTTTACGTGTTTCTCATTGTATCCTAGAAGCCTCAGAAATACCCTAACATCTTTTGCCGTTTGAGGTGTTGGAAACTTCGATATAACCATTACTTTTTTTTTGGATCAGGTTTTATTCCGTTTGGTGATAACAAGAGGAAAACAACCTCCCCATTAAGAAGCCTGCATTATTCCGGTTAAATCTTTAAATTGTAAGAGCACAAAATTTCGAAAACTTGTTAGCATGTTTAAAATGTTCTTCAATTGTGTTACCAATAATTAGAATATCGCTGATGTAGACAAAGGTGAATTTTGCAATGACGTTCCGAAAAATTTCGTACATGCATCCTTGAAAGGTTTAGTAAATTCAAAATGACACTGTTCGGTCGCTTTTTCTATATCTGTCAGGTTCAATCTAATGGAAGGCCATTGCTAAATGTATAAAACTGAAAAGTTTTGCATTTTTAAATGAATTAAAGATAGTTATGTTCAGAATTAAACGTCTATCGTCAATATTTATTAGTTTGAGTTTACAGTAGTATACACCTATTCTCCACTTCCGGTTTCTACTATTGTCGAGTTTTTTCCTATAGGAGAGTTCTAAGGTGAGATGGATTCACGAATGATTCCCTGTTTCAAGAGAACATTAATTTTTCGTTTACTTGCTATTTGTGTATGTGCGAGTAGCGGTAATTTTTGCAATAGATAGGATTATCTATTACTGGTCGTATGAATTTCATGTTTCATGTTCTTATTAAAAGTTAGCGGTTTGCCCGGTTTTAGATATATAGTCGTTACAAACACCTTCAATCTTGTTTTGATAGTTTCAGATATATTTGCTAAAATAGTTTTTTTTTAGTGATTTGTTAAGGTCGAGTGAAATAGTATGAATGGTGACGTTAGCGGTGTTTTTTTCAAGCGAATATAACGGGAATTTATCATCATTATACATTAAAACCTTTTTATTGAAATCAACTGCGTAATTGTTTTTAGAATGAAAACCTAAACATAGTATTCCATCGAAAAGGGAAAAAATCTACCAAGAAAAATTTTTGATTCCTCCTGCTTCTGCCTCTGAATTGTCTCTGACTGGACCTTCATGTCTGAGAAGGTGTCCTACCAAGCTATCTTGCCTATTTTTTATTGACTTCCATAGTGTCCTTTGTTCTCCTATTCTTTCTAATACCTCTTCATTTTTAACCTTTTCTATCCACCTTATCCTCATCATTCGTCTATAACACCACATTTCGAACGCTACTAACCTTTTCTTTTCCTCCGCGCCCACTATTCACGTTTCGCACCCGTTACTAACCGTTCGCGAGCATAGAAGTGACTTCTTTTTATTAAAGGCGACACGACCCTGCGCTATCCTCTGACTTATCTGACTTCCTAGATATCTTAAATCAGCCACTTCTAATTTGTCGTTTCCTATCCTTATATTCGCTCTTTCCCTACTTTTTCTTCCCTTACATACCAGTATTTTAGTTTTACTTTTATTTATTTTCATACAGTACTGTTTTGTCAGTACCGCTTCCATTTTATTTAAATTTATCTCTAAGTCCTCCTTGCCAGATGCTAATGCCGCTATATCATCTGCAAATCTAAGCATACTAATCATTTGTCCCTGTATATCTATCCCCACAGTTGTACTGTCTTAATGATGTTGCTAGCGTCTTTCATGTATAGACTAAAAAGTAGCGGTGACAGTGTGCATCCCTGTCTGACTCCCTTCCTAATATTTACTTCTCTACATTGCAACCCCATCTCTACAGGTATAACTGCCTGTTGTTCTTTATACAAACTAAGTATTATTCTTCTATCTTTGTAACTTATCCCTACATTTTTAAGTATATTTAACATCTTGTCCCATTTAACATTGTCAAAAGCTATTGTAAATCTACAAATCCTATGTACGCCCTCTTTCTTTTTTCTATCGTTTTCTCTATTGTTACCCGTAAAGCTAGAATGGCCTCCCGCGTTCCTCTATTTCTTCTAAACCCAAATTGATCTTCCCCTAATAGTTCTTCCGCCCTTTTTTCCATCCTCCTCTGTACAATTCTAGTTAAGATTTTTGACGCATGGGAAGTTAAGCTAATTGTTCGAAATTTCTCGCACCTATCCGCGCCCCTCTTCTTAGGTAATGTTACTACTACGTTCCGTTTATAATCCTCTGGGACTTTCCCCGTCTCGTAAATGTGACTAACTAGCTTAAACATACGATCTCTAACCTCTTGTCCTGCATGTTTTAGAATTTACCCCTGTATCCCATCTACACCTGATGCCTTATTAGTCCGTAATCCACTTATATAAATGAACATAAAATAAACGCGGTGTTAAAAATAAAGATGCTAAAACTATAATTTTGATAAGAACGTTTTGTTTTTATTGTTGCACCGCGCAGCAAAAAAATTAAAATGATTTAAAAATAGTTAATTCGTAAATTATTTTACATATGTTATTTAGGTAGATTTGAAATATCTGTGTCTATTTTGCTGAACTAAACACAAATTTTACCACATTCACATTGAAATTCGAAGTAGACGAGAATCCTCAACTTCATTATAAAGAAAATGTCTAAAATAAGCATAGTCACATAAAGTGCCGACTTGTTGTTAGTGGTGGAAACGGATACTACATTTATATTTTTCAGGTCTCTTTTACTTATAACTGTAGCTGAGTAATACGGGATTATAAAAATAGCTGTATTCTTCAAGATACGTCTGTAAGTTAATAGTATTATTTGTTATTTTGATGTTAATCATTTATGAAATTTTTGTTTTGTAGGAATTAGTTTCATGACCTAAAATTAAAGAACAATAGCTTTTTCAATAAAATATACCCTAATATAATTATACATAAGTACACTAATAATCGTCATAAAAACAAGAAAAAGCTTCAGTCAATTTCAACTACAACAATTTTATAAAACGCGGAGACGGAATACTTACAAAAGTAAGTGAGTGAAACACGTGTCCACGTTTTATAAAGTTGTTGTGGTTGAATTGTTGTTGCTATATTTAAAAATCCTGTAATATGCAAGACCAGTCACAAGCTGTATAAAATAACTACAATCTTGATGGTTTTAATGTGGTTATATATGTTATATGCTCAAATTAAGGAAAAGTCTTTTTAAAAAATTTATTGAGCAAAGCTACAATACACACACGGTGTAAGGCTTAGTCTACAGCTAGAGTGAAGCATCTTTATTGCAACAAACTTTATATATGGAAAAATAAGCAAAGCTAAGCAAAATGTCTTATTATGTTTTATCCCTATATTACGTATCTAACATATGTATGTATGTATGTTTGTGTGTAAGTATGTATGTACGTATGTATTTATTTTTTTTTTTTGTATCAAGAGGGGGAAAATTTACTGACCGGAAAGTCTCCTGACTTTCCGAGTGTGGCGGCTCGGACTAGGCACTTGATCACTAGACTAGTAATCCCATCTCTAGAACATACCCACTAAAAACCCTAAACTCTTGAGGATACTCCATTGCACCTCGCGCGGAACCGCCGTCAGGCNTAGGATAAATTTTCCCTAATCGGCGCCATGTCTTTAGGCTCCTCCCATTTGACGGATCCCAATAGGACATAGTGTGCAACAGAAGAGAAAATAGAGAAAGAGTTAATAGAAAAATAGGAGACTCCTCAGTACTGGTACGAAACGTGGACTGTGGACATGGTGGAAAAGAAAAGGTTAGAATTGTCCAAAGTATTGCGTTGCAGGCGAACGATGAGGATCATCGTGGATAAAGAAGCCTAGAAATGAGGAGGCATTAGAAAGATTAGGAGAGCAGAGAGTCGTACGGAAATCAACAAAAAATGGGCGAGATAGATTGACTTCCATAGAGTCATCTGTTCTCCTATTCTTTCTAATACCTCTGGGCACGGTTATCATACTTGGTTGAAATTTTTGCTGACATACAAACTGTGTAAAGTAGACGCCGATATCCATGTCATTACTTTTCTGCCATCCCTCGAATATATATATATATATATATGTGTGTGTTGATGCATATATTTATATATTTGTTGGTTAGTGATACATTACTCAGGTGTATCTGTATGTATATTATTTACAATGTAAGGTGTATTTGTGTTCAGTCTGTACACGTGTTTTGTGTCTTTAATTAAATTTTTTAATTACTTTCGTATAATGCACGGAACAGTTGCAACACTGCTCTTTGAAGGAGAAATTGGTAGTCGGGTTGCAGAGTTTTCCATTGTGCTAAATATTTCTTTAAACAACCAGTGTTAATTCCAGATACCACAATTTTAATTTTGCGGTAAGGAAACAATAATAATATTGAATTGAAACTTAAGGATATAAGATAAGGAAATCTCCTTCAGATTTGTTTTAGAATTATATTTATATTACTGTAACGCTGTGTTCATTTTGCGTTATCACAATCAAAGCTTGGTATAAACTAAAATAAATTAGATACTTACGAGTAGGAAATTTTGATATGTTTTCTGCCACTCTAAGAAGAAGTCGAGCCGACAGCAAATGATTACCCCTTCTGATATGTAATCGGACTAAAATGTAGCTGTGCAAAAGCATTAAAGTATGGTACATATCTTGTGGAATACTTATTCCGTTTATTTTGAGCTCCTGGTACATATTGAATAAAATATCTCGAGCATTCTTGTAATTTCCGTTTATTTGCTCCTCGTTAGCAATAATCAACGCAGATTTGGTGGCGTCTTTGTATTGTTTACGTGCCATATATAGTTGGAAAAGATATTTAGGATCTTTAGGATTACCGTCCGTTTCACCTAAGAGAAACTCGATCAGCCGGGCTGCTAGTTGCTGATTATTCGATGATGCTACAGCTTCAATAGCGAGAGAAATTGCTGCACTTTGGTTCATTGTTGATTTTGAAGCTCTCAGTAAATGATCCAAAGCCTACAACAATTTTGATTACTTTACTACAAATTCTTAATCGCCCAAAGGTTTTAAAGTCCTTCCCTATTCAGGGTTGGTTATCATAGAAGATAAAAAATTACATTAATCAATATTAATCGACACTGCAAAAGTATTCTGGGCTTGTCACTGTGTCAGCATATTTATATAAGGGGACAAAACAGTGATTTGCCTTTTAATGAGGTCCCGTAGTTTCATTGAACTTAAGAGGATTAGATGAATTTTTCAGAAAATTTTTAATGTATTGAGAAATAGGCGAGATAGGTTGGTGGGACACCTTCTCAGGCATGAAGGTCTAGTCAGAGACATATTAGAGGCAGAAACATGAGTTAGGAGGAGTAGAGGTAGACCTAGATTAGATTACTGTTTGCAAATAATTAAGGATGTGGGTTGTTCTAGTTTCAAGGAAATGTGAAGCTTAGCTCAGGATAGGAAAGAGTGGAGATACGTGTCCAACCAGTCTTAGGACTGACGACCTTATGATGATGATTGAAGTTACTTGATTTTTTTCATAATTACGAATCAAACGAGTTTCCAGATTTTTAGTTTATTGAGAAGTGGTTTTGGAATTAATTTGATCTACTGCTGAATTTGATTGTTAACAGCATCAATAAGTTAAATAAATATAGGAAATGAATTAAGAAAATTTTAATAATANGTCCCTCATTACCGGACACTTAAGGAATAATAAAAATAAAAAAAGACCTATAATAATGTAATTTGTTTACTTAGGTTTAGAGAACTCTCAACTATATATGCAATCATTACAGACATATATGCAGTCCCAAATATTATCTTAATTATAGTAAATACTAGGAAGAAGTTACATAATAAAAATAACATTTTCGAAAATGTCCCCTTATATCGGACAGTCAACTTTTTCTTTATTATTTAAACTCAAACATTATTTTATCAACTACAATAGAACAAATTAACGAATTAACAAAGAAATCTAAACTAAATCTTAACAAACTTTGGTCATAACTAGGAACATTTTCTAAAAATCAAGAAGTTTTAATCGTACATCCTGCAAAAATCACAAATGTAGTTAAATCAGCCTTTTTAAACATCAGCACACGCTTCGTGAACCCACTGATTGCAAGCTTGACAGCGAATCCAATCTTCACCATTATTTTCTTGGCAGATCACTTCATAGTACTGTTGATAATAATAATAATAAAATTATATTTCCAATTCCAAAATTATATTTCCAATTCCAATTTGTGCGCCCTCAACCTTCCATGCTATGAACACAATCCCTACCGGACTTTCCCCAAAGCAATGCCTCGTTTATTAGACATTGTTATTTTCGACAATTCACTAGAAAATTACTACAAACGATTAAAAAATGTATTCAAACGATTACCCCAATTCAACCTCAAAACTGAAGTAGACAAAAGTGAATTCTTAAAACGTGAAACAAAATCTGAAGGAATTAAACCAAGCCCTAGAAACATTGAAACCATAACAAATTTCCCACAACGTCACAAGATATAAAATAATTTTTAGGCCTGACTAGCTACTACCGTAGATTTATTTCATACTACGTAAAAAATCGCGAAACCTTTAATACTACTTGCTGGGGCGCAATTGAATAAAGAAAACACTTTTGCTATTCGCATTATTATGAGGTTTTTCCTCGGCAGGTAACGTCTCTTCGCGTTTTCGCGTTGGTCACTAGATGGGTCGATGGATCTTCCCATCCACTAACAATTTTGTGATTGTAGTCACCGTAGTCACTAACTATAGCTTAAGGTTAATAACACCCCACTAACGTACCTCCACCCCCTATATTTTGTTGTTATATTTAAGCATTTTTCTATCTAATAATCATTCGGTTCTATCTAATCAGTTCATCAGTAATAGTTAATTAGTAGTATTCGTTCGTTGTAGTTTATCATTTATCATTTAAGTATTTTTCGGTGTTAGTTTAAATGTATGTTTGTTTATTAAAAAGCTAAAAATCACGTAAATTATTTATTGTTCGTTCTATCATTCCACGAAGACCACAGATAGAAATTATTCGGGCGTTATATCCAAAAATATCGACTTCGCTAAATTAATTTTTAACTTAAGGATATAAGATAAGGAAATCTCCTTCAGATTTGTTTTAGAATTATATTTATATTACTGTAACGCTGTGTTCATTTTGCGTTATCACAATCAAAGCTTGGTATNTTATTAAAAAGCTAAAAATCACGTAAATTATTTATTGTTCGTTCTATCATTCCACGAAGACGACAGATAGAAATTATTCGGGCGTTATATCCAAAAATATCGACTTCGCTAAATTAATTTTTATCGAAGAGGTTAAGTGTTCCTTAGGAAAATCTAGGCAAGTAACACACCCGCAATAATCAACACTACTATTGAATAATAATGTTCGTCAAATTGTTGTTTATTATTGTTCACAAGCTGGAGACTTCTAGAGTGGAGACTTTAGAATACCACATACAGGATCGGTGGAGGGTAATTCAGGGGTAGGAATTGTAATGCGTGGGAATGCAGGGCAAAGTGTAGAAAGTTATTTACAATTTAAAAAAAAGCGATAGGATAGTCATGGCATGCCTACATCAACTTACAGTGATGAAGATGCAGAAGTGGTTTATGCAGTATTGGTGGAAGGGCACGAAAAACTAATAGTTGTAGACTTCAGCGCACTAATACGTGAAGGTAAAGACGGTGCAATAGCAGTTTTTTTTGGATTAGGCATTAGAATAGATAGATAGACAGAATTTTGCGAAAGACATAACCGTCGCGAATAATTTACTCAACCATCACGTTAGGAGACGCTATACGTGGAAGATGTCAGGTGATTTAGGGAGATATCAGTTAGATCACACATTAGTTAGGGAAAGATTTAAAAATCAAGTTAAAGACTGTAAGAGCAGATATAGACAGCTATTGTTACGAAAACCAATCTTAAATGGAAAATAGTGAAAAAAAGGGAAGGTAAGAGATATCTTGACTTTGAAAAGCTAAAATGTAGCGAAACGCGGGATTAGCTAGGTAAAAGGACAAACGAAATACTAAAGGTGGCGTGAGAAAAGAATGAGGGCGACATAGAGGCAGGCATTAAAACGTGTTCAAAGTCAGCAGCTACAGATGTATTAGATCTTAAGCAAAACGAAAGTAGGAAACCCTGGATAACAAACAAAATTGTAGGATGAATAGAAGAGAGGCGGAAATACAGAAATGGGACAGGCAAGAAAGGAAAAAAAGCTATAAGGCTACCGTATAGCTATAGGATATAGGCTATGTGTTTTAGACCATGCAGGAATTTTTATAATGAGTATCCTTTTTTGTAAGATAAATAACAAAACAGTTTCCCATATGCTGCCAACTTAAGAAGACACTGTATAACGAATGATTTTGAAAGACGCCAAAACTACTGGAAGTTGCATCAGTCATCTCAACGCGAAGCATTTAAGGCCTAATAATATCCGTTTAACTATTTATACATATATACGAGGTCTGTCTGAAAATTATCCTACTTGCTTTTATATCTTCGTGCCAGTCTTTGAGCGACCTCTGCCAGGCATGAACGTCAACAGTAAAGTATCAGAAACTTATCTGTTGCTCGCTGACTATTACAGGACGTATAGTTCATCCGCAGCGTATATTTCTTTACAACGCCTTTTTCACTTTCGTTGAATTTTATTATTATTGTTAAAAATGACTGAAATATAAGATCAACGAAGTTGCATCAAATTCGGCTTCAAACTCGGCAAAACAAAAGAACAATATTCACAGTGGAAGCTCTCATCTGAATCACGTCTGAAAAAAGCACGTCAAAGTTGGACCTGTGACTTGGTAGTTCCCGAATTTGAAAACATATAAGGGATATGAAATATTATTCTGAAAATTCATTTTTTGAATTACCCCACTACACGCCACCTCAAATTAATGAGAGAAAAATTGTTACTGTTGTCACACCCCCGCCGGGAATCGAACCCGGGACCTTTGGCTTTACGCACCAATGTTCTGACCACTAAACTACGAGAGGTGACAACAGCAACCACGACCAACTGACCTACAAGGTTATCCGTCGTACTAATGTGACTATATACTGAATATAGGGGGAGGTCTCTCATTACCGGACACTTAAGGAATAATAAAAATAAAAAAAGACCTATAATAATGTAATTTGTTTACTTAGGTTTAGAGAACTCTCAACTATATATGCAATCATTACAGACATATATGCAGTCCCAAATATTATCTTAATTATAGTAAATACTAGGAAGAAGTTACATAATAAAAATAACATTTTCGAAAATGTCCCCTTATATCGGACAGTCAACTTTTTCTTTATTATTTAAACTCAAACATTATTTCATCAACTACAATAGAACAAATTAACGAATTAACAAAGAAATCTAAACTAAATCTTAACAAACATATATGCAGTCCCAAATATTATCTTAATTATAGTAAATACTAGGAAGAAGTTACATAATAATAATAACATATTCGAAAATGTCCCCTTATATCGGACAGTCAACTTTTTCCTTATTATTTAAACTCAAACATTATTTTATCAACTACAATAGAACAAATTAACGAATTAACAAAGAAATCTAAACTAAATCTTAACAAACTTTGGTCATAACTAGGAACATTTTCTAAATATCAAGAAGTTTTAATCGTACATCCTGCAAAAATCACAAATGTAGTTAAATCAGCCTTTTTCAACATCAGCACACGCTTCGTGAGCCCACTGATTGCAAGCTTGACAGCGAATCCAATCTTCACCATTATTTTCTTGGCAGATCAAACAAGTTGTTGTATTTTCGATCACTGATGTTGATTATTTTGATGTTGCAGGGATCACTGTCTTTTTTGTTGAATTCGGTTTTTTACTCTTTTTTATTTTTGTCGGATCGTTAGTTTTCTTGCCTTGAAATTGTTACCTTTTAACCACTACAGGCTTATCCATTGTCCAAACAGGGTACTTTTTGGCACATTGTAGACTACAGACGACTTTCTCAGAGAAATTATTACAACAACAAATAAAACTCATTTTAAATGTGTCTGGAATCGGGGAACCCTTAGGCACACCCAAGAAAAATTCTCACTCATAATGACTGTTATTAAACACAAAAAAACGCGTGAATTATGATAGTTTAGTAGCAAACAAATAATAATTAACCAGTATTAATACAATTTAATACTTTCAGTACGGTTTACAGACTCCTAAACATTACTTAGAACAGAATTTTTACTTACCTCAACCGTTGCACAACGCTCTACGACAAACGAGTCAACATTAACTGGTGCGTGTTCCTTCTTGTACTTCACTTGGGTATAGCTTTCTAACTGCGGCACAAGTAACAAATTGGCGCACTTTTTTAAACTGATTTATATTTTGTCCAGCTTTAGGAGCCGTCCGGGGTTACGGGACTTCCCCCTACTATGATTACACTTACATACAATTTAGACATCTTAGTCGTGGTTGCTGATGTTACTTCTCGTAGTTTAGTGGTCAGAACATTGGTGCGTAAAGCTAAAGGTCTCGGGTTCGATTCCCGGCGGGGGTGTGACAACAGCAACAATTTTTCCCTCATTAATTTGAGGAAGTGTGTAATGGGTAAAAAATTCAAAAAATAAATTTTCAGAATAATATTTCATATTAAACTACCTCACTTCCAAAAGATGTCTAAATTGTATGTATGTTTAACATATAAAGGATACCGGTACAACGACAAAAGGACGGTTACAGATAATGCAGCGAGGGTACTCAAGACTATGCGAAAAACTGACTTCCAGGACTGCTCCGGAAACTATAAAAACCTCTGGGAGTGTGTTATTTAATCAAACACAGACAGATCTCATACATACGTATGACAAAATGAAACACATTCAGCAAAAAGAAATGAATAGGAAAGTAGTTAACAATATTTTAGAGTAAAGCGAATTTAAAAAGTATCGATTAAAAATACGAATTTCACTCAAGCTTCAACATTGAACTGCTCCAACAATTACGACCAGAATTATCTAGCGTAATTGTGTAACGCAGCGTCGTTACATGCTGTTCTGGAGTTCTGTACATGAACAAGTGCAAGGAAGGAATCCGGTGCTGGTTATTTCACACGGTGACATAACGGTATAATTCGCAAAAGTAACGGAGGGTACATCCTGCCAGGTTTGGAGTGTCGATCACGGTCATAGGTATGACGTATTTCGAAATAGTACGAATATAATAATCCTTAAAATACTCCACAATGCGTCACGCGGAATCCCTGGTTCCCGTGGAATGACTTGGATACTCATCCGAGACCCTTTCTGTTAATTGTACAAAGATTTCGTCTGTTGGAAAGGTGAGGAGTAGGCACGTGTACTTTGTCATTTGACGATTGCGATTGTAATGGGCGACAACATAATGCGGCCACCTACCTGACGAGTATTCTCAATTATTGACTGATACACAAGATACACTCTAATGTTACATAGTACCCACAAATTCTTATTTAGGACACTGATACAACATTGGTACATATAAATTAGCAAGCTAACACTACTTGCCTACTGTGTTAGTAGGTTAATTAGCAATAGTTTAAATAGCGGAATCAATTATAATAGAGAGGTCGGAGTGGCGAGTCGAATTTATGATTACGAAGGTGCGGGGTAGTGAGACAGCTTACGGTCTTCTCTCACCCTGTGATAGTTTTCTGTCATGTCTACGTTCCGAATTACCTAATAAGGTAGGTTGCGATTATTATTAATCTATCGGGTTGTTAATTGACTATAGCTAAATTTGACTAGAGTAATTAAATCCCATTTCTAAATATATAAAATTCGTTGCTGTATATCTGGTAATAATAATATCTCAAAATAAACATATAAATTCGCTTCCTTATATCACTATAGTGTCTCCACGTTATTTTTTAAATATCCGGGAATAGTGATCAGGCATAGTGTATAAGTATAAATCTTTCAGATGTTGATTTAGCAAATCAAGAAAACGCGAAGAAGTGACATAGTATATGGTACAGTAATGAAGTAGAAATGATAAATGAATATGGTCAATTAATAATTAAATAAATTTAGTAATCGTGAGGAAGGTGTTTGATAACATGACATTTGGTGTTAGGCGTAAGGTAAAAGACTGAAGCGGATTAGAGAAGGAGGAGAATTTTCGAAAGAACACCATCGAATATTCTAGAACGAAATTCAAAATGTTGGGAACGTGAAAGGATCTGCACGAGACTAAGAACTATGCTGGTTATTTGAAATGCTTGAATTGCGGAAGGATGGGTCACCTAAGTCGAGAGTAGTCTTCAAACAGAACTCGGTAGTCAGAAAGTTAATATCAGCCAACTTTATGGGGCACACTAACTCACTGTTTATAGAAGGTGAGCTATTCATTACTCCGAATCGACCACACACTAGTCAGTCTAGCTGGAGCTAAGTGGTTCTCTACTCTTAATTTGAAAAGTGGATACTGCTAAGTGGATGTAAGTATATCCGCAGTACAAAAAAAGAAGATTTCTGGAGCTACTACCGAAGATTTATTTGACGATTTGCCAATATAGCCCAATCACTAAACAGGCTTACAGAAGATAGTTTCATTCAAATGGATACCCGAACACGAAAAAGCGTTTGAACATCTGAAGATTACACTCTCTGGAGCTCCAATCTTGACATATCCATAGTTTAGCGAACCCTTCATCGTTGATGCCCACGCTAATAATGTGACACTTGGTGATATGTTTTTGCAAGTACATGTCATAATAGATAAGGTCTTCGGTTACTTTAGTAACACTCTTGAAAAAAGAACGAAATTACTGTGTGTATGTGTGTAAAAAGAGCAAAGAACTATTTAAAAGAAATTTTTAAGAAATTTAGTCCTTCAAAATCGATCTTTTTATATTCTTTTCTCGTTGTTTGACTACTTTCTACGATGAAAATGATAAAGATTCTGAAAATTTCAAGTCGATATTTTTATATTAAAAGGTCGCTCAAGATTTTTAATATTTCAAGTAGAGTACTTCAGATCTGTTCGAGCGACGATCTGAACATTAATAATAAGGAATATTTTTTTGTTTTACTAAAATCGGCTAAATTTTTTTTGCATCTCTTATGTAATTTATATTTCCTGGTATACTAACTTCAAGAAAAAAATAAAATGGTCCTAATATTCATATCGACTTGAAATTTTCAGAATCTTTATCATTTTTTATTTGTATATAGCGAAACGAGAAAATACAAAAATTAAAAAAAAATCGGTTTTTGACGTTTTTGGAAATTTTTAAAAATTTTGAGCGCTCTTAAAAAATGTTTTTTGAGAAGTCATTTAAGGGGGGTCCAAAAACACGATAAATTAACATATTTTTATAGGAAAATCGAAAATATTCGTTTTCTGTTTTTTTTTTTGGTGGTACTGTAGTTACTGTTGGTGGTATAAAAAATATGTAAAAACCAGGGTTGCATACCGTATAAATATAGATGTAGAAACCAAGACTTCAAACAGTATAAACAAATCTTCCATTGATAAACTCAATTAACGCAATATTAATTGAGAAAGTGCGGAGTCGTTAGTTGAAAAAATAGAAAAACCTCGGAAGAAAACACCAGTGAATAGATTTTCAGGGAATTTTTTGCATTGTATTGTTACAACCTAATACTAAAACGTTTATTAAGTAGAATTTGCAGAATTTTGTTTGTTTAATAATTTATTACAAAATTACAAAAGTAATTGTAAATTAATGATTAACCTCAAATTTCTGCAATAATTTTAATCATATGGATGAGAAAGCATCATTATTTGTATATTTGGAGTTGGTAAATATTAAGTAAAGATTTAAAATTTCAAATTAAAAAAAGGAATGAACATAGTGGCCAGAAACTTAGTACTTAATCAGTATCAAAATTGCTGAATCCTATCAATTATATTTTTTATAAAAATTACCCCTCTAATTCGCTTGTGCATAACACTCTCAGCAGCCCACGTTTGAAAGGTCCCCCTTCGACACATATTTCATCATGGTTTGCTCAAAAGAATATTCATCGAAACGTCTTGATGTTTAATATACTTCTTTAAATTTCCTAAACTTCTTACGATTTTAGCTGGTAATTCATTCATTTTTTTTGGGACAAATTTGAAGTGATTTGGCATATGGAAAATAATCCGCTGAATGAATATATGAAATCAATTTCGTACTTCAGTAGCAATAAAATCTTTTGGTATTGAGCCCTTTTGGGTACCTCAGACCTTAAATTCGTTTCGTACTTGAATGAATTTCGCTTTAGAAGTTACAATCTTAATTATACATATGTATATATATATAAACACATATATACCAATATAGATACAAAATCAATAATTTCATTTATTTAAAAAACAAAAAAAATTGTTCTGATTTCTTTATCGATCTTTTTTGTAGATCTGATTTGCGGTTTGGAGTCTATTCTGGACAAAGAAACAAATAAACAAATTAAGTGAAATTTGACTTGAACTTAGAGTTACTTTAGTATGAAACAAGACAAAGTTATTTGCTTGCAAAAGATAAAATCACTTACTTTGTTGTAGTCCCTGGCATGAAAAAAATATTTTCCCGCCAATAGGTAATCCTTTTCATGTTCGAAGTGCAATGCCAATTTATGAAAATCATCATGCCTAACTCCTCCTAATGATAATGTGTTTAATAATACATCACCATAATATGTAAACATTTTTTGTTTTTTTGTTAGTTCAAACGCTTCTTCAAAATCTCGAGCCATAACAAGAAACTTGATTGTTGAAAAATAGTCATTAATTCTCTGAAAAAACCTGTAAAACGCATTCGATAAGCTATAACGTTAACATAACAAAATATTAATTGAAATACCTTGCAACCATTCTAAACCCTTCCACGCTTTTCGTTTCCTCAGCTAATTCAACCGCTGCAGTAGGATTATTCAAGTAATCCAACTCTAAGCGAATGACGGAATCAAAATCATTTGCCATGTAATACGCTTTCAAGGAGTCCTTATATTTTCCTTCCAGTTCCTTTGCTTTCGCATATTGTGAATAAATTTTGTTCGATGTAATATTGGGCAGAAGCTCTTCCACTTTCTTCCAGTTTTTTATCTTAATATAAGTTGAAGCTGCTTTATCGTAAACCTGAGCCTTTTCGTAAAAAAAAGCCGCCTCTTGGTATTGTTTCATTGATGCCAAAATATTGGCACACTCGATGAAAAGTTCTCTATTATTCACCTCATTTGCAATAATGATTCCCTGTTTGTAGTTTCCACATCTTATAGTTGTTCTAGCTGTTCCACACTTGCAAATAAAAACATGTTGTGGTTCTATGTTTTCGTTTACGTTCTCAGTCAACCCTTTATCATAGAGAATATATGCTTCTGAATAATTGCCACTAGGAAAAAATAAACATACTGAAATACTCATTTAATAATTTGTAAAAACCGTTATTATAAAATATTCTACATTATATTATAAGTACAACTGAAAATTCAAGTGTGATTTCTAGGTTTAGGTTTCTGGTGCTTCATTTTTCCCAGTTTATTTAGACTAGAATGCTTTCAGATTTATAAGAAATTGTCTTTTAAGTTATTACGATATATTTCAACATTTCCATGAAAGCACAATATAATACAGTACAAAAACTCTGACGACTACATTTTGATAAAAGGATAATCAAATGAAAAATGAGTGATTTGTTATATCTTCTAATTTCACATCCTCATCATTATGTCAATTCAACATCATCACATCTTCAACCATATACTAGGAGCTGTGTTATTGTCTCGTTTGTTTATATATTTTTTTATATTCAATTTTCTATTTTATTTTAATTTTTTTAATAAAGTTTTAAATAAAAGCCTTTAGCAGATTCCCACAGCCTACCAAAACAATTTAACTGAGCGGACGCGCGTTGCTGCCTCCTTTTAGTAGTGGTCCATCTACTTTTTTTTTTTATCGAGAAGTTAAATTTACAAGATCCAGAATAGGACTGTTGTAGTCATAGTTATAGTAAATTCTGTATTTTTACTTATACGGTTACTTTGTAACAACGTACTACATCTAATAAAATGTATGCCCATATGATGCGCAGAAGGCTTTCTACTTATTTTTTCAGCGTGGATTAGCTATAACACGAATTCAAAGGATACCAGTCTAATGGTATATCTAACCACAATCGATCTATACATTTTAATGTGGTAAACTTTCACCACCTTTTAATGTAATGCGAGATGAGGTGATCTATATCAGTCTACCTCCAGAGAGATTAACCTAATACCACATATGATATGAGACTAGAGGCAAAAGTTAAGGAAAACTACAGAAGTTAAAAGATGTCACTTGGTCAAGTCCCCTTTGGCAAAAGTTTTGCGCTCATTTCTATATGGGCGAGGCAACCCTTTCTGGTTCCACTTGGAAATTTTCTTCTACCAACATATTACCGCGCATAAAAAAATTCAGCGCTCGTTAGTAATTTATCATACAAAAATAAATAAATTAGACGAGAAAGCGAAATAGTTCCAACTCGTCTAACCATGAACCATCTTTACCTACGTCTTTAGTAAAATCTTCTTTGTATGAATATATTTTGAAAAGAAGAAATAAATAATCTATGAACAACTGCTTTAAAAACAAAAAAAGAGAGCACAGAAACGACTTAATTATGTTAAGACAAATAGAAATGACGGTACTGTTGAAATAACACCTGACTATTTGTAGAAACTCAACTGTAACGGAAATTAACAAGTAAACATCAACGTGTCACCTGGAAATAAAAATGACAAAAATAGTAAATAATTGTACTCTAGAAAAGAAAAATTTTTTTTAATGTCTTTTCGTACGAAAAATCCTGTTGTCCGTTGTATGAAAATACACGCCCACTTACTTTCCTATGTGGAATAATATTCTGATTTTTGAATTCTCACAAGTTGGCATTCGGAAAAATCAGCTGAAGTCGATTGTTGGTTCCCCGAAATTTCAATATTTGTTAAAGATGCTGTTGTCCTACTAGCAGTTACAATAAGGAATGCTGGAGATCATATTGTCGATTCATCATTGTCCTTTGTACTTCCTTTATGATGTTCATTTTATTTCTTGATGGTCACGTAGGTGCTAGAATTCTCTTTTGAAGGAATAAGTTTAGCCTTATTATGTTGAACTGAGTTCTAACCTCGTTTTCGTATTCTGCGAGTATTTTGAGTTTGACTATATTGAAATTATAAAGTTCAGTAATTTCCTGTAGTATACTGAATGCTTTATTTGGAACACTTGCTGTGTTAAAGTGTTATGGTAAGGTTAATTTAATTTAATTATTTCTAAAGGGTTACAGAGCCTTCATTTAGAGGGGAATTTCGAAGATTTAAATTGGTTATTGTATTTATGATACTCGGTCATTTCAGTATGAAATGTTAAACAGTTTGAGAGTAAGTATTTAAACAGGCGGAGACATAACAGACCCTCCTTCCATCTGTTTTCCTTTTTGTAATATTTTATTCATATGTTTTCACGCAGATCTTGAGGTATTGCGATGCTATGTTGTTTGCTAAGTAATTTTTGATTAATTTGATTAACTTTATGAATAATATTTTTTATTTAACCTGTAATTAGTGATGCGTAATTTTTGAAACAGTACTGGTGGCGTAGGGGTCGTGTCGAAAAAAAAAAGGTTATAAAGATGGGTCCGCGTGTGGCTCGAGATTTAATTACGACGAGTTACTAACACTATACTATGTCTAATCACAAGTCGGGAAAATAAGTGAGTCAAAACACTAAACACAGGTTCCCAAAGGGGCGGTCGCTCCTTGCTGCAAAACTCTCTCAGAATGCTACTCTAATGTTCCAGAGGAAAGCTCTTAGAGAGAAGAACAAGACGAGTTCTGTATTCTGTACGTCCGGTGCGCAGCCTTTTATAATGGTTTTGGGGCAGGTCAGTGCGCCTCGGGGTGATTTTGTTGGAGAGGGTTGCTGGCGATGGTATGGAGGTGTTCGTTCTTCGAGTTCCGCGTGGCCCCTTCAGGAGCGGTACTACGGTACATATCGGAACTACCTTAGGGTAGGATTAATATCGTTTCGGTGGTCGTGCTATATACTCCCCTTCTAGTCGTTGCTTAGCGTGTCGTGATAATGACTAGCCTGACTTCTTTCTGGGACGACCTCGCTTGCGGATCGGGATCTGAGGAGACGGGGCTTGCTTGGTTCTTTGGTAACGGGTCAGCGCGGAAGAGTGGTATGTTCTAGTCACCTTCCTGGAATGGTCCCGCGAAGCTATCTTGAAGCTATTTGGTCCACACTGAGTCAGGATGACATTAGGCCCATCTCTATAAGGGGCTAACTTCGCGGAAAAGGTTCCTCGTGTACTACGACTGTGACTAGTAACTATGACTAAATCTCCGGGTTGATACGCAGTGTTAGGGCGGCGGTGAAGGTCGGCGTAATTCTTATGGCGGTCTTGCTGAACTTCATGCTGCTCTTTGGCTTGACGCAGTAGAATAACCAAAGCTCGCAATCAAGGCGTGATTTCTGGTACAAAATTGTTATTCTGGACTGGAGATCCTGGTGGGCGTCGTCTGGAGTGCGTAACTCCCTCCGAATGTTAGCTGAGCAGACGTGAAACTGGCGACACTATAGCGGGCGGTGTTTAGGGTGAACCGAATGCTAGGAAGTACTTCGTCCCATTGAGTTTGATCTTCTGGGGTCGCAATTGCGAGTTGCGCTTTTAGATCTCGGTTCCTCCGATCTACGGGATTAGCAGCTGGGTAGTACACGGGGGTCAGATCTTGCATGATCCCTAGGGAGTGAGCTAACTGCTGCATCACCACTCTAACGAATTGTGTACCCTTGTCTCTGATTATTCTTATCATAGATCATACGTAAATTTAGGATGATCGCGGTGCAAGTTTCTGCTATGGTAATAGTCAGTGGGAAAAGTTTAATCCATCGACTGGCAGTGTCTTCCACTATTAATATCCAGCGGTGGTTCTGTCTTGACTTCGGTAGGGGTCCGACGAGGTGTATGGCGATGATTTCAAAGCATTGGTTCAGAGTTGGAGTCTGTAGAAGTCCTGAGGGTCGCAGGTTGGTGGCTTCAAACCTTTGGAACTGCAGGTAATCCTTCAAGTAGGCAGTGATATCTCTTCTCATCCCTTTTCAAAAATATCGGGAGCCGATACGTTGTCAGGTACGGTCCACTCCGTAATGTCTGGTTGTGGGGTTATCACGATATTTTCGCAAAATATCCTTTCTTTCCTAGATTAGTACTACTAACTCAACCTCTTTAGCGTCCACATCAGGAGGATATCTGTATAGTACCCCTTGGGATACTAGCTAACCGCGGGCGAGGTGACTGCTATTTTGGGTTCGTCAACTTGGGCGAAAGCTTCCAGGATTCGGCGTAGATCGGGATCTTATAGTTGGCCTTCCTGAACGAACGCAGGGGAGCACAGTTACGGCGTTGACTGGACATACTGGAGGTCTCGACAGTCCATCGGCGATAATGTTTGCCATGCCCGATCCAAAATCAACAACTAAGTTGTAAGGTTGTAGTTGTAAGGCCCAACGAGCCAATCTTCCGGTTTTAAGATTAATTAACCACTATAAGGATTGGTGGTCGGTGGCTACTACTACTGACGACTCCTCGATGTAGCCGCAAAAATCGGACATGGCCCAGACGATTGCAAGGGCTTCCCGTTCCGTTGTAGAATAGTTCCGTTCGGTTGCTGTAAGGTGTCGATTCGCATATTCGATGGGCCGCTCGTCTTGTCCCTCCCCATGCAATATGTCTGCCGCCAAGGCATACCGACTTGCATCTGTTTGTGAGCTGAATATCGGCGTAAGGTCTGCTTGCAATAGGATCGATGACGTTATTAGCCGCTCTTTGAGGGTGTCAAAGGCGCGTTGTTATGTTGACCATTCCCTGGCGGGTCTTGTTAATCGGCTGAGAGTGGGCAATGTCAGCAAAATCTTTAATGAACCGGCTGGTACCATGAGCAGGTTTGTAGGAATCCCTGCAGCTGTTTCAGGTTTCGAAGCGGCGGAAGGGAACGCCGAGACCCTATTGGGATTAGTGTGGATACCTTGCGGTGTAAGGATATGCCCCAACTATCGTATCTCTGGACAACAAAATCGGCATTTTGGACGACTCAAAAGCAGGTGGAATTTTCGCATTCGCGCTAGAATATTCCTTTGGTCCTCCAGGTGCCGTGAGAAGGTTGGAGATAGTAAAATGAGGTCGTCCAACTGTTGAATGTCTTGTAATCCACTCTTAAACATGTTAATTAGCCGCATGACTGTACTTGGAGCATTTTTCAAGTCGAACAGCATTTTTCTGAACGAGTAAAGCCCAAAAGGAGTCACAAATGTGGTTTTCAGCTAGTCTTCTTTGCAACGGCGATCTGC